AATTAATTTCAAACAAACAAAAACCTACGACAACAATAACACAACCAACGGCCGTAATACTCGCCCCACCCCCCACCCCCAACACGCCCAAATAATAAAACTCTTTAAAAAAAAGTCATACGGCAAAAAACAGCAAGGAAAATAGTTGGTAAAAAGAAGAAGAAAAAAAGAGAGACAATAACTGTGCTTCTCCCCCTCTCCCTCCTTCCCATCACCCCCCTCCCCCTTTAAATACGGCGCTAAAATATTTTCCTCGTCTCCCTTCTCTTACCGTCTTCGCAAATCTATTTTCCTCTATTCTCTTTCCTTTTCCTCTGGCCTTCTTTCCTCCCTTCTTATCTCCCGCTTTCTTGTTATCTTTCTCTACCTTCATTCCTCTGCACCTTTATCCTCCATTCTCTTCTCTTCTCTTCTCTCCTCTCAGGCTCTCCCTTTCCCTCTCCTCTCCATCACCCCATACACCCATCTTCTATCCCTCTCATCTCCTCTCTTCTTGTCTCCTCTTCTTTCTGTTCTTCCCCATCCTTCCCTTTCTCTCAATCCTCCTTCTATTGCCTCAACTCTACTCTCCCTCTCATCTCACCCCTCCCATCTGTTCAATTCTTCTACTTCTTCTTCTTTTTCTTCTCCTTCTTCCCTCAACTTCCTCTCCCCTTTTCATTCTCCCCCCCACCCTCTCACCTCCTCCCTACCCTCTTACTCTCCTTCCTTATCCTTCCCTTCTCTCCACACACCCCAGATCCTCTCCCCTTATCCTTCCATTTCTCCTCCACCCATTCCTCCCTCCCCCTTTCCCTTCCTCCACCCCCTTAACCATTTTCCTCATCATTTCCCCTTCCCCTCCCTCTCTCCCATACCCTCCTACTCACTCTTTCCTACCCTACCCTCCCATCTCCCTACCCTCTAACTCACTCTCCCCTCCACCTCTCCCTCCCTCTCATCCTTCTCCCCCTCCCACTCGTCCTTTCCCTTTCCCCTTTTCCCCTTTCCCCCTTCCCCCATCCTTCTTCCCCATCTCCTTCGCCGCCGTCTCATCATCTTGTAAGATCCAACGCGGGGGACAAACACACCTCTCTCAGCCTCTCGAGCCGGTCGCGGAAAATTAAAGGAAAACACGAAACACTGAATTTTAACCCCGGGTGCCGTCCCCGCCGTCTACCTTTAAGCGGCCCGGGTTGTTGTTATTTAATATAAGGAATCTAAGACAGGAGGTGGTCTCGGGGGGGGGGGGGGGAGAGGGGGGGGGAGGGGAAGGGAGGGAAGGGAAGGGAAGGGAAGGGGAAGGGAAGGGAAGGGAAGGAAGGAAGGAAGGGAGGGGGGAGGGGGGAAGGGAAGTGAAAAAAGGAGGAGGAGGAGGGGGGTGAAAGAAAAGGAGGAGAGTGAGAGGTGAAAGAGAGAGAAGGAAGGGAAGAAGACTTGACGGATGAGGAGGAGGAAGAAGGAGGAGGAACGTGAGGAAGGGGGAAGAGGTAAGAGAAAGAGCATAGGAAGAGAGAGAGAGAGAGAGAGAGAGAGAGAGAGAGAGAGAGAGAGAGAGAGAGAGAGAGAGAGAGAGAGAGAGAGGAGAGAGAAGAGAGAAGAGAGAGAGAGAGAGAGAGAGAGAGAGAGAGAGAGAGAGAGAGAGAGAGAGAGAGAGAGAGAGAGAGAGAGAGAGAGAGAGAGAGAGAGAGATAAAGGGAGAGGAAAAAAAAGGCGATGAGGACACGAGAAGGGAGGAAATATGTATGGAAGGAAAAACAAAAGAAAGAATAAATAAATGTACATCTGCAGGAATAAAAAGGTAGGGGGATACAAACAGAATACTATATTTTGCAAATTGTTTAATAAATGCATAAATCTAATTCAGCAAAAGTGCATATCAACGCAGAATTGCTCATCTGAGAAACGAAAAATTAAAATGTGTTTAATCCGTATATTTTTCTGCGACTGAAGCGGGTGATTATGCATTATCCTCATTTTTTTCTTAATCATAAACGGGTGATCTGAACTGCCGCCATTCAAATATGCTGATTTCCGTTTCCTCTAACGGCTAAATGAAACAATTGGGTTTCATTTCGCAATATCGAATTATTCCTTAAATAAAAATAATTTCCTTTTAATTATTCTTCAGCCGCTGCTACATGAGTAAAAAAAAATACATATATATATATATATATATATATATATATATATATATATATATATATATATATAAATATATATATATATATATAATAATATATATATATATATATATTATGTATATATATATATATACATATATATATATATATATATATATATATATATATATATATATATATATATACATATACATATATATATACATATATATACATATACATATACATAACATATATAATATATATATATATATATATATATATATATATATATAATATATATCATATATATCGGGTGACACAAAGACACACGCCCTCATCCTCCCGCCCCACGCTTCATCTTCATCGCTTTCCCTCCGCCCACTGTCATCCCATTACCACCACCGCGCACCGCCCCACCACACACCCATTTCTCCGGCTCGTGGGCGTGAGAGTGAAAGGCAGTGTTGGTGTACCAGCGCGGTCAAAGTACATTTGCTGTCGCTATCTTTATTTAAACCGTTTTTGCGTGCGTTTTTCCCTGTTCTCTTTACTCTCTGTGTATTCTGATGTCATTCATTATGTATGTATGCCTCATTTTCACGTTTTTAGTTTTATTCTTTTCTTTTTTCTTTTTTTTTTTTTTTACTTCCTCCTTATATTTTTCTTTCAAGCTTGGCGATGCTCTGAAATCTCCCTCGCCGATGGAAAGCTGTCAATAATGAAACGTTTCTTGTCCTCCTCCCTCCTCCTCTTCCTTCCACGTTTTTCATCTCTCTCCTTTCTCTTCCTCTCTCTCTCTTCTCTCTCCCTCTTTCCCCCTTCTCTCTCTCTCCCTCTTTTCCCCCCCTCTTCTCTCTCCCTCTTTCCCCCCTCTCCCTCTTCCCTCTTTCCCTCTCTTTCTCTCCCTCTTTTACCTCTCTCTCTCTCTCTCTCTTTCCCCTCTCTCCCTCTTTCCCTCTCTCTCCTCTCTCTCTTTCCCACTCTCTCTCTCCCTCTTTCCCTCTCTCTCTCTCTCTCTTCCTTTCCCTCTTCTCTCTCTCCTCTCTCTCTCTCTCTCTCTCTCTCTTTTCCCACTCTCTCCTTTCTTCTCTCTCTCCCTCTTTCCCTCTCTCTTCTTCCTTCCCCTCTCTCCTTCCTGCTTCTCTCTCCTCCCTCCCTTCCTCTCCCCCCCATCTCTTCTCCCTTTCATGCAGGGTGGGGAGGAGTGTGGGAGTAGGAAGGGGCGGAGGAGGGGGAGGGGAGGAACAAGAGTGGGGAGAAGGGAGGGGGGGGAGATTGGGGTGTTAATCCCCCCTGAACGACGAACACTTTCCACCGAATCCCTTCCTCCATCGTGGAAATCCCCCCACCGAAATCCCTACCCCCTCCCCCTACCCACCGACCCCCTCCCTCCCTCACAATCCCTTCCCGCCCGCCCCTCTTTCCAAGGAGACGTTACTGCCCGCTCTATATTGAAAAGTGCAAGCCATTTATTAAGTACAAAATACTTTTCGGGCCAATATACCAGGACGGGGTGGGTTGGGGGTGATAGGTTGGGGGCGGGTGGGATGGCGGGATGGGGGAAGTGGGTTGGTGGGTGATTGGTTAGGGGTGGGTGGTTTGGCGGGATGGGGTAGGGGTGAGGGAGGTGGGTTGGAGGGAAGGGGTAGGGGAGGAGGTGGGTTGGGTGGGTGATAGGTTGGGCGGGGGGTCGGGGGAGGTGGGTTGGTGGTGATAGGTTAGGGGGGGTGGTTGGCGGGTAGGGGTAAGGGTGGGGGAGGTGGGAGGGGAGGAGGAGGTGGGTTGGTGGTGGGGAGATGACGGGACTGGGGTTGTGGGGGGCAGGAGGGGCAGTCTCCCCCAACCCACCGTCATCAACTCAATGGCGGCGATGTCGATGTTTTAAGATCACACTTTTTTGTCACACTTCAAACAAAAGCATCGTGGCATATTGGAGAGAAAAAAGGGGGCAAAAATCAGTCAAAAACAAAAGAAAATATACACTCTCAACGTATGTACAAACAAAAAAAGTAATGTTAATAAAGCTGAAATAAATCTAAAATCTAAAAAAAAGATACAAATATAAATCACACAGCATTAAAAACTGGAAAAAATGGAGAGTATTTACAGAGTGCAAAGTCCACCTACCCTTCTTGCAGTGTTTTAGTGTGCAGATTCCCAGGACTTACCTTCCCATACCACTAAATGTGCTTTGTAAAAAAAAAAAAACCTTAACCATTTTTAAGTGCGCCAAACACACACAAAAACACAAACAGATAAACACACGAGAAAAAAAAATAAAGAAACAAAAAAAAGGTTAAATAAAAATCACTACAAGGACAAAAACACATCCGGGGGTCTGTGCGCGTGTGTGCGTGTGTGTGCGCCTGTGTGTGTCCAGCAGGGTGACACACTCATAGGGTGAAGGTGCCCCGAGTTTAAACAGGGGGATTAGGGATTAGGGTTTGCTCCCTATCTAAGGGCGACCCTAAAACGTGCCCTTAAACCAGAGTTATGGCCCTTAGTGTGTCAAGCTCAGCCGTCGGACCTCAGAGTGAAGTCCTCCACATCCGGGACTCTTCCTTGAGACAGGAAGAGTCCAGCTGCTCAGAAGGTTAGTGTGTTCTGGGCATTTGCCTAGGTAGGAGGGGGTGTTATAAGGTGCCGCGTTAGTGTGTGTGTGTGTGTGTGTGTGTGTGTGTGTGTGTGTGTGTGTGTGTGTGTGTGTGTGTGTGTGTGTGTGTGTGTGTGTGTGTGTGTGTGTGTGTGTGAGTGTGTACGCATACACAAATGCATATGCAAGTGCGTTTGCGTCCGCGTGCGTGTAGGTGCGCCCGGGCGCGAGTGCATCCGCAGACAGACCCCAGGCTAAGAAGGGAGAGAGGTGCGGCGAGGGCGGAGAACAACAGAACTTACTTGAGTTTCCACCGTTGACTGTGGGAGGCGAACATGGGGTGGAAAAGAGAGACGGATTAGTAACGTTAAAACAACGACGCGAACAGCTGTAGTAGGCCCCTGCACAGCGCGAGGGGCCAGCTAGTAACTAGGAGTCTGCGAGAATGCCTAGTGCACTGCTAGAAACTAGGCCCCGGGTCGCAGACCAGGCGGCCGAGTCCTAGAACACGGGCTGGCTCAGACCAGGGGACAGGCTGAGGGCTCGCTTCGGCGTCCAGCGGCCTCCCGGCTTGGAATCACCTCGGGAGAGGCTTTGACAGCTGAACTTTTTAGAGCCTCAATCAATAACGATAATCATGATCGTAATAATTATAATAATGGTAACATGAATAAGATAAACATAAGAATCCAATTTACATTAATAGCAGTCATAATCGTAATCCAGATAATGATTACGATTATAATCATAAAAAAATATTAACAGCCATAATGATCGAAGGGAAACCCTCAGAGCTTGTCCAACCTGTTCAAGTCATTTACGAAGACAAATCAGAGAAAAGTCAGTAATCATAAAATGTTAAGACCTAGGAAGAAAAAAACAACATATGAGTTAAAATACAAAACTGAGATGAAGAAGAGCTGAGATGGTTTAATAGAAACTTTCATCATAGTTGATCAAACACAACATTTTTAACAAGTTTGCAGCTCTTTGAAGCTCACATATATATTTTTTTGTCTCTCTCACTTTTTTCATTCTCTTTTTCTTTTTCTTTTTGTTCTCTTTTTTAGATGTTAGCACAACTTTTTTTAAACACATGACAAACACATCTAATTTTTTTGAAGGGGGATTGGGTATTATTAATCATACATCAAGAGAGAATCAAGTCAGTTCATGCAAATTACACTCGCTACAAGGACACAGCAAGGAAAAGAATAAAAAAATCAACAAAGACACACAAACAGTCACACGTGCGGAGGTCAAAAAAAGGCTGTGGGAAGATGGACAGGCGATAAATATAGGAGGTACGAATGGGGAAGGAGAAAAAAAAAAGAGAAAAAGGAGATACAAAAAGGGGGAAGAGAGGGAGGGAGAGGGGAGAGGGAGGGAGAGGGAGAGGGAGAGGGAGAGGGAGAGAGGAGAGGAGAGAGAGAGAGAGAGAGAGAGAGAGAGAGAGAGAGAGAGAGAGAGAGAGAGAGAGAGAGAGAGAGAGAGAGAGAGAGAGAGAGATCCCACAGTGTCAGAAACAAGAAGTAAAAAAACAATGAACGAAAGAGTAGATGAAAATACGAAGAGAAAAGAGGCCAGAGCAAATGGAAGCGATCCAAGGAATAAATACCAAGAGGAGAAGAGAGCGTATTTAAAGAGCAAGAGAGACAAGACAAGAGACAAGAAGCGAGGAGAATGAATAGAGAAATAAGGCGCAAGAAGCGAGGAGAGTGAACGGAGAAGAGGCAAGAAAGAAGTGAACGGAAATAAGAGGCAAGGAGCGAGGAGAGTGAACGAAGAAGCAAGAAGCAAACGAGGCAAGAGGTGTCATTCTGAGGTCTGGAACGCGGGCGATCACGGCACAACAGGGGACTAATGGGCCCTTACTCTCCCTCAGAAAACAGACATACAGACAGACACAGACAGAAAGGCTGAAAGTAAGAGAGAGGGGGGGGGGGAAGAGGGAAGGAGAGAGAGAAGGAGGAGGAGAGGAGGGGAGAGGGAAGAGAGAGAGAGAGAGAGAGAGAGAGAGAGAGAGAGAGAGAGAGAGAGAGAGAGAGAGAGAGAGAGAGAGAGACTGAGACTTACTCTTATAGAAAACAGACAGAAAGGTTGAAAGGAAGAGAGAGACAGAAAGACAGACAGCCAGAGAGGCGGAAAAGAAGAGAGAGACTGAGAGGCAGAAAATGAGACCGATTTACAGACAGACAGAGAAAGGCATAAAGAAATGCACAAAAGGGAAATGAATGAGAAAAAGGCAAGAGAGAAAGTCAGACAGAAAAACAGACAGACCATAAGGAAGGTTGACAGACCGAAAGAAAGGCAGAGCGGAGAGATAGAGAGAAAGGCTGAAAGGAATACACACAAACAGACAGAGAGGAATGCAGATAGACAGAAAGGCAGAAAGGAAGTCAGATAGACACAGGCAGAGACAGAAAAGAAGACGGACAGACTGAGAGACAATACTACACAGCCGTTTGGAAGACAGAGACATCTATGTACACAAAGATGAAATAACGAAAATAATTCCAAAAGACAAATCCACACGAATGGAAAAAAGGACATTAAACACACACATATATACAAACACAAACACAAAAACACAAAACTACACACACACACATACACGCAAAACTATTGACAGAAAAACACATGAAGCAACGAGAGACATTGTAAAGCAACACTTAAGAAACACTACACAGATAGAGAGACGACGCGAAAGGAACGTATGCAACACACGTGGAAAACTAATATTGCCTCTTATTTCTTTAGATGTAGAGGGAAACATAAATAAAAGACACACAAAGAGACAACACAGAAGCACAGACAAAAATACAAACACACACCCAAACACGCTCAGGCACAAATGTCTGTATATATGTATAAATGTATACATATGCATATATATACACACAACTTTATGTGTGTGTGTATATATATACATTAGTCGTACCTAACTTTAAAAATACCTAACTTTTAAAAAGAAAAAATATCAAGTAACGGATGAATTTATTTCCTTCTCTGGGAAATCAGATATCGCAAATAAATAAATAAATAAATAATAAGAAAAAAGTAAAAATAAATAAATTCATTAGTACTTCAATAGATCGATTCTCTTCCTCCCGCTTCATCTATTAATGTTTAAACATCGCATCCACCATCCAGCTTCTGACAACCGCCCGTAAAAGCGCAATAGTCATCCGCCCAAAGCAAGAAATCCGTTAATACAATTTGAATCCCTCAAACTCGATGCTCATTGGTCGGTTCAAATCTACTTAGGCATCTCACTGGCTCGTTTCAAACAGCTAAGTTATTCAAACTTGATGGATGACCGTTAATAACCGTTACGGAACAAGTCAATAAAACATATATAAACTTAAAAACGTGAAGACATTATCTAGAATTTGATGCTTTTTCCATGTACATCACTACCAATGACAGAATTACGTTCTCGCTCTTACGATCGTTAATATCAAACATTACTATTTGAAATGTCATTACAGCCATTACTATCAAACAGCGCAATTATCGCTCGCTCAGACATTCGCGCGCAATTTCGAAAATAACGCAGAAGAGTGAAAAATACCATTAAGATACTTCTGTTATCTGACGAGTATCGCCTAATCGATAAGAAATAAATAAAATAAACAATAAGAGTGAAAACTATCATCAAAATACTCCGGTCATCTGACAGGATATAATAATAATAATAATAATAATAATGACAATAACAACAACAATAACAATAATAACAATAATAATAATAATAATAATAATAATAATAGTAATAGTATAAAAACAACAATAAAAAAACGATATGTGAAAAACAAAATCGAAATACTCCCGTGATCTGACGGATATCGCCCAAAACAACAACAACAACAACAACAAGAGCGAGCAAGTCGAGTCGCCGCGCGCTATTACCTCGAAATATTCCCCGCGCCCGTGTGACAGCTTTTCTAAAAAAACGCCAAAAAAAACGTTAAAAAAACGGTATCTAATTATATGCAAAAGACATTCCCGATGTGACACTGATAATTTCTGCAAGTGACACACGACACCGGGTGATCCTCGGGACATAACGACCTTTGACACCTGACACCCAACGCACTGCCGTAGACCTAATGTAATTTAATCTACCGAATCTGGGAATGCGAAAAAAAAAGCGAAAAAAGGAAAAAGAAAAGTGCTGAAGGGTAGGGAAGAGGGGAAGAAAAGGAGGCGGAGAGAAGGAGAAGGATATGTGAACATGAAAGACAATAGGAAATAGGAAATAAAAAAAACAAGATCTGTGCAAGAAACAATGGTTTGGATAGAATGGGATGATGGGAGTCAATACGCGAGAGAGAGAGAGAGAGAGAGAGAGAGAGAGAGAGAGAGAGAGAGAGAGAAGAGAGAGAGAGAGAGAGAGAGAGAGAGAGAGAGAGAGAGAGAGAGAGAGAGAGAGAGAGAGAGAGAGTAAGAGAGAGAGAGAGAGAAAGAACAAGAAAAGAGAAAGAAGAAAGAATAGAGAGAAAGAAAAGAAAAAAAGGCAATGAAAAATATAAAGAAAGGCCGAAAAGAGAAGGACGAGGGAGAGCCAAAGACCGAAAAGAGGGTAGGAGTCGTGAGGGGCGCGGGGGGACCTAGGACCACTTAAGAGGCCACGGGAGGTCGGGGAGGGCGGAGGGCGTGAGAAACGAAAAGGTGGAGACCGCGGGAGGCAAAAGCCGCGCAGATCCCTTATCGCTGATGGGTTATTGATGCGGCCCTCGAGGGATTAAAAGAAAAGAGAAAAAAAAAGAGATTTAAAAAAAAGGGTCGAAGAAAATAGGAGTTATCTCGGACGAACTTTCTCCCCAAAGGTCCCGCAGCGCCTCCTGACGTCCCTGGCCTCCTCGATCCTCCTCTCGGATCCTCTGGCCTCGATCCCCCTCTCTCAGTCCCTCTGCCCTCCTCCTCCTTCTTCTCTCCTTCTCCTTCTCCTTCTCCTCTTCCTCCCTCTCGATCCCTTGAGGGAGGGAGACAAAGAGTACAAGAAGGAGGAGGAGGACGAGGAGGAGAAGAGAAGAGAGAGAGAGAGAGAGAGAGAGAGAGAGAGAGAGAGAGAGAGAGAGAGAGAGAGAGAGAGAGAGAGAGAGAGAGAGAGAGAGAGAGAGAGAGAGAGAGAGAGAGAGAGACAGGAGCAGGAGAAGAGAGAACCGAAGAGTAGACAAGGACAAGCAGATAACGAGCAACGTATCTGCGTGTTCAATGACCTACATAATTAACAAATTGCGAATTTCGCCAGCTCGCTAGACTGTGAACGCCGCAGTTCAATACATGCATATTTCTGTATTTTCGGCCGAGCTCGACGTGTGGCCCCGCATCAAACGTACGGATTATTCTCTCGTACTCCGAACAACAATGCAATTTCGCGTGGGCGGTAAACCACTTTTTCGCGACCCGCTTCAGCTCACCGACGCCGGAAACGCACTTAGTATCGAGTACATGTCATGGAACCGCCCGCCTGGTAGCCTGGACCCCCTCCCCCCCTTCTCCTTCCTGCTGGTGCATGGGAGGGGAAGGAAGGAAGGAGGGAGGGAGGGAAAACGAAAACCTACGTGTACATTAATACACAGACACAGACACACCCTTAAACGCACACACACACACAACAAAACACACACACACACGGGACAAACCACACACATACATAATACACAAACACTAACAGAGAACACAAACTTGTAACCACATATACACTCATCAGCTCACTGTAACATGATGAAAGGAAAAACCCGCACACATGTACACCGAACATCGTCATTAATGTACACACGCCTCGAGTCATCAGACGAGGGGAAAAAGAAGGGAAGGAGAGACGGAAAATGGAAGAGAGGGAGAAAGAGAGAAGGATGGGAGGAGGGAGTAGGAAGACCAAGAGAGATAATAAGGAAGAAGGAAAAGGGGGAGAGGGAAAGGGGAAAATGACCGAGAGGAGGAGGGGAAAAGAGGGGAAGGAGAGGTGGAAAATGAAAGAGGGGGAGAAAGAGAGAAGGCTGGGAGGGGGACGCAGGAAGACTAAGAGAGATAATAAGGATGAAGAGGGAAAGGGAAAAAGAACCGAGGGGAGGAGGAGAAAGGAAAAGGAAAAGGAGAGAAGGGAGAAAAAAAGGACAAAGAGGAAACAGAAAGAAAATGAGAAGGAAGGGATATACAAAAGTGCGGAGAGAACGGAAAAAAGAGGAGAGGAACAGGAGGATAAAGTTGGAAGAGCATGAGGAGAGGGAAAGGGGCGATGGAACTGAGAAGGATTTAGATAAAGGAAGGTTCACGAAGGAGAAATGGAATGAAGGTGGAGGTGAAGAAGCAGAATAACGAAGAGTAGTAGCAATTCTTATGAAATGATAATAGAATAATGATGAAAGCGGTAATAGTAGAAGTAACAATAATAATAATAGTAGTAATAATGATATCAATAACAGTAGTAGTGATAATGATAATATTACTAATAATAGTAATGATGATAATAACAATGGTGATAGAGAGATTATCATCATCATAGATATCAAACATTACTTTTATCATTATCAAACCAATATCACTATGATGATAAAGGAGCAAGAGATAAAGAAAAACAGAGGAAAAAGGGGACAGCAGAAGGGAATAGCGAAGAGGGAGAGGGTGAACGGCAAGAAGTAGACGACGGAGACGAAGGAGATGAAGAAGACGAAGAGATGAAGAAGATGAAGAAGATCAAGAAGACGAAGATAAAGAAGGAGAGGAAGACGACGATAAAGGAGATAAAGACAAGGATAAAGGAGATGAAGACGAAGATAAAGAAGGAGATGAAGAAGACGAAGAGAAGAAGAGAAGATGAAGAAGGGACAAGAAGATGAAGATGAAAAGACGAAAATGGAGAAGACGAAGAAGGACGAAAAAAAAACGAAGGAGTAGAAGGAGAAGGAGGAGACGAAGACATCGCGGGCGGAGGGCGGGCGGGTCATCGGCCAACTAATCAACAACACAAACTTGGTCCGCGGGCGCCAAAAAATGCGAGGCCAAACAAAAAACTGCGCCGGGTCGAGGATGGGCGGGATGGGCGGACGGGTGGTGGGGATGGGCGGGGGGGGTGGCTGGGGATGGGCGGGGATGGGCGACGGGGGGGGGGGTGATGGGATGGGCAGTGGTGGGGATGGGGATGGGATGGTGGCGGGGGAGGGGGGAAGGTGGTCGGAATGAAACGAATGCTGCTTTAAAAGGGGGGGGGGTGAGGAAGAGGTAGAGGAAGGAGGAGGAAAGAGGGAAAAGGGAAGGAGGAGGAGAATGGCGGATGGTAAGGAGAGGGTGGAGAAAAGATGAGGAGAGAGGGAGGGAAGGACAAGTAGGGCGAGAGAAAGAGGGAGATGAAGGAGAGAGGATGATGATTAGGGAAGGAGGGATTGGGGAGGGAAAGAAAAGAGGAGAGAGAGAGAGAGAGAGAGAGAGAGAGAGAGAGAGAGAGAGAGAGAGAGAGAGAGAGAGAAGAGAGAGAGAGAGAGAGAGAGAGAGAGAGAGAGAGAGAGAGAGAGAGAGAAATAGCGAAAGAATGAACGGCAGTCAAACAGACACAGAAACAGACAAAGAAGGAGGGAGCTATCAACTCCGAAGAAAAGGCAAAGCAACTGCTTATGTCTTGAGTGCCTTCTGTCCACTTCTTAGAGCTTGCATCTTTCATCTTAAGCCCTTTAATGAACCTCCAGATTGCACAATCATTCACCCGTTGAACACGCAACACACAAGTAGGAAAAGACTCACAAACACACAAATCTACATACAATAAAAAGGGAAGCCTCACAAGCAAAGGATTAATAAATTGCACAAACAAATAACAATAATAAAGTTAAAATCAAACATGCCTAAGTTAGAATGCTCAAATTACTCTACAAACATTGAATCATTATGTACAAAGATAACATAATGAATGCGCACAGACGAACGCAAGGCAAGGCAAGGAAATGAAAGGAGGCTATGAAGCTAGACGAAGCCAAGGCCAAGGAAGCCGAGGCCAAAGCCACGAAAGCGAACGCGGGGTCTCACCTGTTTCTCCCGTGCTCACCGTCACGGGCTTCGACGGAGGGCCGCGTCCGATCTTGTTCACGGCCAGGACTTGGAACTCGTACACGGTGAACGGCGTCAATCCTAAATAAAGAGAGAGAGAAAGAAAGATGAGAATTAGCTTTCATAAACGTCCGCTTGTACTGTGTGTCTTTCATTACTTCCCAAAGCCTTTTACAATCCAATGGCAGTGCTTTTCCAGGTAGCTTATCTCGTATCAAACACCACGTCTATCCATTTCTAATTTCTCCCGCGCTTCTCACTCGTCCCGACCATCAATATCAATATCTAATATGCTTTCATACCTAACGCATTTGATTACAAGTTCATCCTTGCCTTAACAAGTATTCCGAATCCCTTTCATGTCAATAAATAATAAACTACAAAGCCTTTGAACAAAATCCCCACAAAATGATGGAAATAACGGCTTTAAATGCATTTCCAGCTCCACCCCTTCTTTTTCGAAGTGAAATCTTTAGATGCAATCACGTCGATTAAATAAACTGATGCTAACGATCACATGTTGATATTAATCTTGTTTACCTTTGATGCAAATCAAGCTGCAAATCCAAACAAAACACATCGCTTCGAAAACTCACTGAGCAAACAAGACGGTGCTCGGACTCTGTGCATAATAATAATAACAACAACAAAAATGACAATAACAATAATAATAATAATAAATGATAAAAATAATCATAACAATAATTAGTTTTTTTTCGAGACAACGTATTTCGACTTTACTGACCTATATCCCTCCTATCCCTACCCGCATACCCACCCACCCTCCCCTCCCTCCCTACCGCATACCCTCCCTCCAACAAACTAAACAAAACACCTAACACCACTCGATAATAATCACCCAACCCTCCTCCCCTTTCTCCCTCCCCCCCCCCCAAACACACGTATCTAATTCCCGCAGGATAATTAGCATGAAACTCTAGGGTTATCAACAAACTCCACCAGGGTCATTCCTTCTCGTGGAGTGTTCTTGCAAAGTTGCACTATCAATTAAATGTTGCATCCCCTGGAACCGGTCTACCTCCTCGTCTCCTGGGGAAAGCGGGGCCCGCCGGGATTATTATCTGATTAGGGGAGACGCTAAGGGGGAGAGGAGGGGGGAGGAGGAGGGAGGGCGAGGGTGAGGTGGGGGAGGGGGGAAGAGGGGGATGGAAAAAGGAAGGAGGGGGGGAGAAGAGGGAGGAGGGGAAAAGGGGGAAGAGGGAAAAAAGAGAGGGAGAGAGAGTGGGACAGAAAAATGGGAAAAGGGAAGGGAAAAAGGGGGAGGAGGAGGGACAGAGAAATTGAAGAGAGAGAGAGAGAGAGAGAGAGAGAGAGAGAGAGAGAGAGAGAGAGAGAGAGAGAAGAGAGAGAGAGAGAGAGAGAAAGAGAAGAGAAAGAGAAGAGAGAGAAATAGAGATAGAGAAAAACAGACAAAGAAACAGAGAGCCAGAGAGAAAGACAGAAAGAAACAGAAAAAAGAGACAAAAAAGAAAAGAGAAACAAGCATATGCGACAGAGCGCGAGACCGCCCATCTCATCGCCCCGGCCATTTCGAAATTAGATAAAAAAAAAAAAAAAAAAAAAAAAAAAAAAAAAAAAACGTCCCCATCCTGTTATACTGTAACGACAATAAGCACCTTATATGGCAAATGTTACAGGGTGGGGGTAGGGGGGGTGTTGGGGGGGATAACACAGCAAGAGGGGAAAAAATCGCTTTAAAAAAATATTTGTTTTCACTTGACATAACCATTTTCAGGATGCACTTTGTCTGTTTAATTCACTTCAATTGTGTTTCGAATTGGTGATTGCATTCGGTAACTGGGGTTGGGAGCGGATGGGAGGGAGGGAGGGAGGGAGGGAGGAGGGAGGGAGGGAAGGAGAAGGAAGGAGGGAGGGAGGGAGGGGGAAGGGGAGAAAGGAGAGGAGGAAGGAAGGAAGGAAGGGGGGGAGGGAGAGAGGAAGA